ATATTTCTTTCAAGTTTAGAACATTTTCTGCGTAATTGTTGGTTTCCTTTATAATTTCATTTACCAATTCGTCCGTGAAAAATAATTTAAAATATCGTATCGGCTGTTCAATGTTTGTAGGAACTTGTGGTCCAATGACCTATCGCAATACGCTAAAAGGTATTCTATCTGGAATATGTAATTCTTCCGTAACATCGCGCCATTCATCTAAATCTTATAACGAATCTTCGCTTTCACTTTCAATAATTCTCATTCTTCGTCTCTTTGGTAGTATAATTTCGCTACTACTACTTGAAGTGTCCGAATCATAACCAACATCGTCTTCCACAATGTCTTTTAACTCTTCAAAATCAAATACGTCTTCGGTATCACTCGGCTCTAAATTCTCATCGTAATATTTATTTTTCTCCATGTTGCTAACCATAAAAAAGGTCAAAAAATGGTTTAATCGTAATGGTACAGACTTAGCACGTTTTAACTACAGATAACAATTGCTAACGCCGACGATAACGTATGCTAGAAACATTTGGCTCCGCAGCGGAGCCTTCGAAGTTACGGAACAAATGACAAATGTCTCCGTAGCGGAGCCTTCGAAGCGCTAAGGGTTAAAAAAAAGTATCGACACACTATTTTCATTTAATCGTTATATCGTTTAGCTCCGGTTTCTCTCAGACGATTTATATCTAGCGTAAAGATCGACGGCCTTATCGCGGATAACGAAGCCTATACGTCGCGCGAATTTGTTTATCTAGAACGCTATGCTTGAAGGAGGAACTTCTGTGCAAAGTGACAGACCCGGTGAGGGACTGTTGCCACAAGGTGACGATCGTAGGTGCCGGAATGGTCGGCGTGGCGATTGCGAACTCGATTCTATTCCAGGTACGTCTTCGAGCAACAATTTCTGTCGAACTCGAGTGAAAGCCAGCGTGTAGGCACTAATCGATGCGAAAATAGACGGCAAGAATCGTTGCGCGATATAAATATCCCGAGGAACATGCTAAAAATTCGATAAAACCGCCGCCAGTTGCGCGGCGCATTCTTGAGAACGGAGACGAGCGCCTTCGCAAATATTCGATAATTTTTCTGTGTCCCGCAGAGGATCACTTCGCACATCGCGATCGTGGATGCTTTCCCGAAGAAGCTGGAAGGGGAGGGAATGGATTTTTGCCATGGCTCGGTTTACCTGGACGATCCGCGGGTCGATTACGATACAGGTAACGCGGGTCAAGAATTCTCGGAATCTTAGATCTTCGCTTAGAAAAATTTCTGTGCTTATTTAGGATTTTCATTCGCGAACATTTTTTCAAGTTTTTGAAATTCTGAGGACTGCGTTATAGGAAATGATGAAATAAATTTCGTAATCCAAGAATACGGCTCATTTTTACAGTTGATGCCAATCGGTAACTATAAAAACAAGCCGCAAGGCTCGCGTAATCGTATCTCCTCTTTCCAAATTGTCTATTTTTGTGCGCGATCTGACCGCGAATTAGGGAGAAATTACTGTAATTACTTTTAAGGCTCGATAGATTTAGCGTTCAAACGATTACAAGCGAAAAGTATATCTTACAAACTTCCTGAATTGCAACGAAGTTAGGCCAATCCGTGCATTTTGATGGAAAAGGCTGACGATAAGGATCTCGTTTCAGACTTCTGCATCACGAGCAACTCGAAAGTGATCGTCATAGCCGCGGGGGTGCGTCAAACGAAGGGCGAGACCCGGCTGGACTTGGTGCAGCGTAACTCGGAGATCCTGAAGAACATCGTTCCAACGTTGGTCAGCTACAGTCCCGATGCCGTGATCCTTCTGGTCGCGAATCCAGGTTCGATCGACTTCGTGATAGAGGGGAGCATTCCGTCGAGCAATCGTCGGCGCAGCTCGTAGAAAAGGGACGTTTATTTTCAGTTGACATTATGTCGTGGGTAACGTGGAAAGTGAGCGGGTTACCGGTCAATCGAGTTATCGGAAGTGGAACTCATCTCGATTCAGCGAGGTTTCGCTACCTGATCGCCGATCGGATCGGAATCGCGCCGAGCTCGGTGCACGCGTACATCATCGGCGAGCATGGCGACAGTCAGGGTTAGTCGAGCCGAGCCGATCCGATTTTCTGTTTCTCTTTTGTCCCGGGCTCCCACCGGAGGAGAAAGCCAAACCGTTACGTGTCTGAAACGTTATAAACATTTCCTAGTTCCACTCTGGTCCGGAGTGAACGTCGCGGGAGTCCAGTTTCGCGATATCCTGCCGAATATCGGCCTCGAGACCGACGACGAGAGGTGGTTCGAGGTCCACAAAGAAGTCGTCAAGCTGTGAGATCCTTGGCCACCAGTTTTCTTCGCATGATCTTTCTTTAGACGGTTCTCCGGTTCATTCTGATCGGCCGGTAGACCGCGGATTTGAAGCGTTTACGACAAAAATTAGCGGATCAAATGCAAAAAGAAATACAGTATTGTCTCCCTAATTGACGCTCAGATTGTGCACAATAGTGGATAATTTGGGAAGAGGAGATACGATTATTCCAGTCTTGCAGCTCGTTTTTATAATTGTTGACAATTGGTAACTATAAAAACGAGTTGCAAGGCTCGAATAATCGTATCTTCTCTTCCCAAATTGTCAATTTTTGTGTACAATCTGGGCGTCAATTAGGGAGACATTACTGTATTAGGTCGGCGCGCATGAAAATGTCGGCTTTATCAACGAATTTCAGATTCAATCGGTAAAAACTGAATATCTTCTTCTGAAAGATATTTATTTAATCAAAAAAAATATAAATTAATGAACAATTTAATAATTTAATTATTTATTAAAATATAAATCATTTGCCTCGATGCTCTTTTCCCAACGAGTTTTCAATGTATAAGTGCCATTTTTGAAGCTTTATTCTTTCGAACGAATAAACCCTGCTCACAAAAAAATAACACGCATATCCGCAAAATTCATACTTAAAAACAAACGTACAAAACTCAAAATAAACGACAAATATACAGAATTTTGGAAAAATACTTTTTGGCAAAATACTTTTTTACGCAATAAGACTAAAAGAAGTTATGCCATAAATAACAAGATAACAGGAAGACAAATATTTACACGAAATAAAAATCCGACATTTCATATACACCGACCTAGTATTATAAATTTCTATAAAAGTGAACAATTTTATCCCGCATTAAAATCCGCGATCTACTCGTCGATTTCAAGAATATCGCTCAATTCTATTGGTCGACAAAATTATAGTTTTCTCTTTCCAATGCCATAGAATTTTGTATAAATAATTGAAGATTTGCAAACGTTTAGTCTTTGAAAGAAAAAAAGTTAAATGTAGAAGCATTTTTTTGTTCGTTCCGTCTCAATTCTAAAGATCAACTCAATTATAACAATTTGTGTTTTTTAAAAATAATATTAGAAGCATTTAGAAGCGTTTAAACAATAGTTTAAACAATTCCATATAGTGTGACCAAACCAAGTTGACTAGATTACGTTGACTTTATGAGATTTTTGGAAGCAATGGCCGCGAGTCCAAACAGACTCGGGCACCGTCGAGCTTGCGGTAGCTAGAAACAAACAAATCATTCACCGAGACTGATCTAATTGTTTCGATTATGCAGAGGCCCGACAGTGCGGTGCTTGAAGGGATACTCGAACACAGCAGTCGGCCTGTCGGTCGCAGACATCGTCAAGGCTATTCTGACCAACTCGCAGAGGGTTTTAACTGTTTCGACCTTGATTCAGGTATGAAATCGCTAATACTCCTTTATACATCAGTGATGCGATTATTCCGGGAAGCCACGGTAGAAGAATTTCTCCGCAGGATAATACTTTACGCTAGAAATTCGTTCGTAATAAAAACAGCGGAGAGAATCTTCATGCAAATCAGTCGTCGCCGCGCTTTGAAAACAGCTTTTGCCATAAACTTCCTGGCACTTCGATAATAACGTTCTCCAGCCAACTGCATCGCGCTGACTTATCTGTCAAGGTTGCGATTCCTCGAAAAAAAAGAAAAAAAAATAGAAGAATAGACAAATTGCTGTCGTAAATGTAAATTCTCGCTTTACGATCTATTAACATCGCCGCTGAAGTAGGAGCGATTATAGAAATTACTATTATCATTCTTTTATTACCACCTTCATCGTCTTCATCGAAGTTACGGAGAAGTTGTCGCATCAACAGACCCGATAAGACGTACGCCAGAAAGCAATTCCACCATTGTTTAATAAACGCGATCGTAATCCTTTATAGCTTCGAACTTTTAGCATCGGTATAAAAAGTTTGCATAACTCGAGACCAGAAAATGTCAACTTATAAATATAAGTTAATCAAGAATTCGCGGCTTTAAAAAAGTATTAGATTTACACCGACGTGTGAAGTAAGAATTAGAATTCCATGAAGCATCAATTTTCTTTATTACGATGGAGAAACAATGGGACGAGTTGCTTTCACCGCGTTATAGCAATCAGTGAAATTAGATTAACCCTTAGCGCTCCACGCGTTTCTCGAGTACTACCTACCACCTTTGAGCGGAAAAGATTACACGTCCTTGCGAAAGCGTTTGATTTTATTCATTTTATCTTGCTAAGTATAAAAATGGGCAGAAATGTTTTAATCGTAATGGTACCTACTTAACATTATGCGAGGTCGGTGCATCGACATCGTGAATTCTGACCGAAATTTCCAAGCAGCAAATGCATCCTCATCGAAATGGGTAAATTTACTATCAATGATATTCTTCACAATTCTTAAATAAATATATCCTCCGTGTTCTTTGACGCGATTTATTATAAAATTAGCATTCCGAATCGTCCGTTGAATTCTGTTTGGATACGAAATTATTGAAACAAAAATATATTTTGCGCGAGTTTGTCGGAATTTTTTTATTGTTAATCTTCGCTGGAATCGGTTCGATTAATAATTCAATTAAATCAAAAATTAGTAAATATTCTTCGGACGTTCTAAAATAAAATTGAACAGCGTTTTTCTGAAAAATATCACTACCAGCAACTGCGGCACATTTTTGGAGCAAAGCGCCCGAGATAAAGGAAGTCTTATTTCGAGCGGAAAAGATTACGCGTCCTTGCGAAAGCGTTTGATTTTATTCATTTTATGTTGCTAAGTATAAAAATGGGCAAAAAATGTTTTAATCGTAATGATGCACACACTAAGCACGTTTTCACTACAAATAACAATTGCCAACGTCGACAAAAACATAGCATCTTCGGTGTAATCATGCTTAAAACATTGGGCTTCGCAGCAGAGCCTTCGGATTTACGGAACAAATGACGGATGTCTCCATAGCGGAGCCAACGGAGCGCTAAGGGTTAATAAAGCACGATAAATCCGTGAAAGACGACAAAGTGTACCGGTAGCTACGAAGAATTGAAAGATCGAACGCGACAATGAACAGTGTTGGAAACGATGTTACGCGGTTGCTAAGATTCGAAAGTGGACTATGCCGCTCGAACGGGGATGAGCAGAGACGAATTTCGTTTGCAGGGTCATCACGAGGTTTGCCAAGAGATGTTCTTATCGTTGCCGTGCACCATTGGCGAGAACGGCGTCACGAATATCGTCCGCATGCGGATCACGGAGGGCGAGAGGAAGTTGTTCCAGGCGTCCGCGACCACCGTGTACGACGTGCAGAAGGACATTAAGATCGGTTAAGACGTCGCGTTAGCGGTCGTTGCCGAAAACTGTACCCGTTCGTTCCGTTGCGAGTTCCGTGTTGTCCTTGTAAAAGTTGTCTTTAAATATATCGTGACGAGAGGGATGCTCGATCGGCTCACTTTTTCCCGCGGTTGTCCGGCACCTTCGCTCGGCCCTCGCGATTCCCAGCATCGTCGGGGAAACATTGTCGCAATTTCCACGCGTTAACGATCCCGAGTCGTTTCGAAGACCTGCTTCGTTGCACGAGGCGAACACGTGTGATGACGAAGCCTGCGCGACTGGTACACCTTCTACTTTTTTTCTTTTTCACCTGCCGTGAATCATCCGGGCGCCGCGTCGCGCTGGTTTCGACGAGCCGATGACGTCAATGACCCATCTTCGCGGTCTTCCGAGCACCAGAATTTCCCGTTGCGCCCTACCTATGGAGGTGGACGACGGACTTTGTGCCAGCATGTGCCAGTCATCTCTAATCATGATCTAAAGGGAATTCACGAAATATGTATTCGTGCGCTGCGATTTTTGAACAATGGTCGTCGTTCGAACTGCTGTCATACAGAGAGAAGAAATCGTAGAACAATGAATGTAAGCTTATTTTAAAGCTTGAAGCTTCTACTTTAACAGATCACAGTTCGTATTCTTCGGGGATTGTTTTCTGCACGATGTAGCGAGCGCAGAATAGATGACATTTCTTGGTCAAAAATGGTACCGATTGAAACGACTCTAGAAATGTTGACGAATTTTTCTCGTGGCTGAATTTGCAGTCCATTTGAAGATCGAAACTTCTTCTTTGCAACGAGCCATCGAGAATTGATGTACGAAATCGTATCGATTGAAACGACTCTAGAAATGTTGACGAATTTTTCTCGCGGCTGAATTTGCATTCCATTTGAAGATCGAAACTTCCTTTTTCCAACGAGCCATCGAGAATTGATGTACGATTTTTTTTGTCTATTTTATCGAGCTCTGAACGCGAAGTGTATCGCCCTCTCTGCGATGGTATAAGGTACGCCACGAGTATCGAACTTGCTCCGGATTTCGCTTCCATAAAATGTCTCCCAAAAATCGTACCCGAAGTTTTAAGGAGTCGTTGCGAAGGAGAAGCTTCGATCTTCAAGTCTTTTATAAAGTCAATGTCTCCCTAACTAACGCTCAGATTGTGCCTAAAAATGGATAATTTGGGAAGAGGAGATACGATTATTCCAGCTTTGCAGCTCGTTTTTATAGTTGTTGATAATTCGTAACTATACAAACGAACCGCAAGGCTCGAATAATCGCATTTCTTCTTCCCAAATTGTTCATTTTTGTGGACAATGTGAGCGTCAATTAGGGAGACTTTACTGTAATAATTTCAAAAATTGCATTGATCCAAGATTCATGTACTGCAAATGCTTAAACCGATGGTAATAAATACTTCAGTTAAGAGGGTCCTTGAAGCTGTTTTGAGATTGTTCAGGGTGAAAGCTTATGTTGACCTCGATCACTAGTTTCTCACAGCGGTTTTCCCGGAAGATGTCAAATTTCGAGTTTAAATTCCACGTTCCCAGAATTCTTTCCGATCATCCAATTATACCATTCCAATAGTATGCCTTCGAAGAATGGCACCACGGTTACGTCAGACCGTGTGTTTCGGAGAAATGTTTTTATCGCATTTCATCGAGTAACGGGGCGAGATTTAAAACGTTCCGGGAGAATTAGAAAATGTCTAGGAGCGGCGGGTGCGTTTCCCTCGACTGTCGCGCTGAAAAATGGCGAAAGGTGACCGGTGGATGGTACCAGAAGGTCGGAATTCCGCCGCAGGCTAGGCCACGGCAAGGTGAGAGCACAGTGCCGGTACTGGTCGCAAGATGTCGCATTGAAATCGTCCGGAAAGGCGATAGCCGCGGTGTTACGGCATTCGAACGGCAACAGTGCCGTAAGAAACGGCACTGTTTGTTCCGAGAACGGTCCTCTGGACGCGTTCAGCTTCTTGTAACCTCGATTGGCCATTACAAAATTCCCTGATCGTCTCAAGGTTCTCCTATTTAACGAGAATCGATAAAATTCCAACAAATAAACGCCGAGGTGCCTTATAAAAAAAAGCTATCAAAGATCAGCTCTCTTGCGCGACACCGTCTAAAATCGGAGAGAAGTTATTGGTTCTTGGAGATGTCCATAAAAATGTCACGTGAACCCTTTGTCATGCTGAGAGCACTTTATTGGAAGATTCCAGGAAGATTGGCACGTTTCTGCGTACCACAGTATGTATTTGAGTAGCAAACAGTCTGCAAGGTTCGCCATTATTGACACAATGGCGACCGAAAATAGCTGGGCAGCTCGGCGACCATGCTTAGACATTGATTATGCGAAATTGTTGCTAAAATTTGCGAGTGAAGTTGTTTTATAAATGGTATGCAACCAGTTCAGGGTGAAATTGGGAAAATGCTAAATGAGCGAGCTTGTCGTCGCGACAAGTGGAAGGTTTGGAATAAACAAATTATTTTTTCTTCTTAAAGTAGAAGATATTGTCTAGAACGTAGCGTCGGATTTTTAAAAAAGTTCAATCGTACGTAGAAACGACAGCTGATGGAACCGAAAAGATCGCAACGACATAGCTCCGGCATTGTTTATTATTTTGTTTTCAAACAAAATTGAGAATTAAGCTGAAAGTTATGTTAACATCATCCCTAAAAATCAAAATTTTACGCCGGTTTTAAAGCTAAATAAAAATTATCCGCATCTGGTGCAATAAACGTGTGCCACTTAAAAAAAATATCTTCCATCCTAAACTCGGCGAGTTGCAAAATCGTATAAATGCCATTAAATCAGCGGTGTACGTATCGATGATCCTTAAGCAAAATTCCCAAGAGCGCGGTACATTCTGAAACGGCGAAGCTAGTCTCTTTTTACTAGAAATAAATTTGACGCTGTGAAAATTGTTGTAAATAATGATACAGCAATCTCGAATGTCATCTCGGTAATTTCTGTTGAAAAACTCTCTCGTAAACACCGATCTCCCAAAAAACCGTCAGTAACCCCAGGCCGACAATCTCGACGTCGAATTAAGAGAAATCATCGAGGCAGAAAAGTACAAGCGCGCGTCACGGACGTATTCCCGATCAAAGGGTCCGACAGGTGGTCGAAGGAGTGGGGCGCCAGGACAGCTACGCTCATACCTGAGCCGTCCAGGTGGAGGGGGCAGCCGGGCCCGTTCCCTGATGGTCCTATCGTCTGTCAGTGGAGCTCAGTCAGTAGACAGTCGGTCGGTCCGGTCAGCTGGTCTCGTCTGCACGGTGTACGCAGAGCTGGTAAGCGGATCCAGGATCCAGCTGATAGAGCCCGGCAATCGAAAAGCCTCGATCGGCCAAGGATCGGTAAAGAGAAACGAAACGGCGGCCCGCGCGCCGCATGTGCGCGAGTGCTTCGACAGATTCTCCACCGGAAACACCAACCTGTCGCGGTGCGAGACCTGGCAGAACGATAGTCCCGAAGGTGGACTCCGCAGATAGGAGGACCAAGGCGCAGCAGGACACCTGGTCAGCCGGGAAATGACTATATCGTACGCGAGCGAAGTGCCAAACGGCTCCAGCTTCGGCTGCTTCTGGAGGATTCTGGTCAAGTGAGTACGATCGTTTTAACACGCAGCCGCGAAAGTTGGTTTCCGCTCTCGGTGCCGCTCCGCGCCGACTCGTGACACTCTTTGACAGGTTCGCACCGTGTTCTCCGACCGGGCTAGATCGCTCGGACACCTCGGACTTTTTTAATCGGAGCCGGAAGAATCGGTTCGCTCTTTCAGCCGGTACTCGTTCGAACCAAAAGTCGATAGAAACGCTTTCGCGTTGCATTTTACGTAGCCGTAAACACTCGACACCGGAGAGCGCCGCTCGGACTGGTTTTATACCCCTTGATTTTGAACCGGAGCCGGGTGAATCGATTCGTTCCGTTTTCTTGGGAATTTTAATCGGCGCTTATGCCGACCGGGAATTAATTGAAACTTTTCGTATCGCATCTTTGCACAGCTGTAGACACCGGAGTGTCCCTTGGACCAGTTTTGTTCCATTCGTTGGAAGAACCGACTTGTTTCGGTTTCCTGGGAATTTCAGTCGGCGCTGCAACCGAAAGTTAACAGATGCGGTAGGAACCCTTTCGTACGCCGCCGGCGTTTGTATTTTAACTGCGATCTCCACTGCAACTGCAACCACCGGCGGATCCACCCTCGTAGATCTCGCAAGATAGTTGGCGAATGCCGGTGACATCGGGGCGGTGTCCTGTTTACCAAGACAAGACGCTAATGTCGGCGACAGATGAAATTCATTTTATATCATAGGTATGGATGTTGAAGTATAGAGTGACGAGATTTAGGTTCAGTTTAGTCCAGGATTTTAAATTTTCAATATGCCGATGATTTTATAGCAGCTAGTTTGAATCATTATAGTAATGTCTCCCTTACTGTCGCTCAGATTGTCCACTAAAATGGATAATTTGGGCAGAGGAGATACGATTACTCGAGCCTTGCGGCTCGTTTTTATAATTGTCGACAATTTATAACTGTAAAAATAAACCGCAAGGCTCGAATAATCGTATCTCTCATATTGTCTATTTTTATGGTCAATCTAGGCGTCAATTAGAGAGACATTACTGTATTTAGATTAGGACCAGTAGGGAAAAGAATGTCGATTCCAAATAAGTAGGGCTGAACAAGAAGAATTTTTAAAGATACGGATTTTAAACAGACAATGAGGTATGGACTTGGCAGGAAGGTTCAAGTTTTGGGCTTTCGTTGAGGTTGCAACACTGCGAGCCGAGCGTTAGCAACAAGTGTACGAAATTCTGCTGTCAATTTTCTTAGCACCCGACTGTCTGACTTTGTTTCTCTCATCTTCAAGTTATCGTTCTCTTCGTTTGTATCGGAAGGTTGTCCTCGTCTTCAATTTCATTCTTGTTCTCGTCCTCGGCCTCATCCTCGTTCTCTTCATCATCCCTATTCTCGCCTCGACTGGGCACCCAACTGCTCTCACTTTCGCGGATTAACTGCTCACCAACTTTCGCTGTACACCAACAGTGTGTACAAGCGGCTACAGCGAGCCGCCAAAATTTTGCATGCATTAACAACTCCGATCGACGATTACTCGGACGACGAAACCTTTTTACAACTATAACAACCGACTACATTCTTCGAGATACTACAGAATGTCTCCCTAATTGACCCCGAAATTGTGAGAGGAGATACGATTATTCGAGCCTTGCAGCTCGTTTTTATAATTGTTGACAATCAATCAATATGACAATGATAACAATAAAAAAACGTGCCACAAGGCTCGAACAATCGTATCTCCTCTTCCAAAATTGTCCATTTTTGTGGACAATCTGAGCGTCAATTAGAGAGACATTACTGTACTTATAGACGGCATTAGCCTTTCCAACACTGACGCAGAAATTTATATAATTTAATCGCAGAGATTTAACCCTTTGCACTCGAAGACATTTTAACCGTAAATCTAAAATCATTTTTATATTGACTTGAATTATATTGAAAGTGTGACCGTTGTATGAATCGCGAAACTCAACTTCGTACGCGTAAAATGCGCTTTGTCTTGTAAAATGAAAGTACTATAGACTCATAGTACTTTCATTTTACAAGACAAAGCGCATTTTACGCGTACGAAATTGAGTCTCGCGATTCATACAACGGTCACACTTTCAATAATGTTTAAAATTTGAACTTTGATGATATTAAAATTATCTTGGAACGTGATATAATCATTTTAGCGGTGCCTCAGAGTCACCACTCGAGTGCAAAGGGTTACGTAATTAGGAGACCAGTTAAATCGCACTGTTCATCGGTTGAAATATGTATTCCCGTCGCTAACTTGTTTAGAATCGATCGTAAATTTATTGCTGACTAGAAACATTATTGAATACGGTTTTTCTTGATACTTTCTTTCTTTCTTTCTTTACAAAAAAAAAGTGGCTTCTTCATTAGTTAAAAGCGGTTCCCTCGTTAAACTACAAGTTTACTCGTCAATCACGGCCATGCACATTTGCAGAGTGACTCACGACCAGATTCCTGGAATTAGAACACTTTTGCACTCGCCACGCGACACGTTCTTCACTGATCTTGAATATATTGATCCTCCGTCAAATTTATCGCTTGCGATCCAAGTTGTTTGTTTTCAAAGCAGCAATTTACGGGGCACTTTTCATCGCATCGATATTTTACT